GGTTGTTATTATTTAACATCCAAGGCTCAATCATGTGTCCAGTGAGAGTGACGGAAGAATACTTATTATTATGACGGCCAAGAGTGGAAGGTCCATTCTTTATGCATGTTGATTCTAGCCTGCTAACTAAATTTCAATTTATAAAAGTTTTAAGGTTTGCCTGGATAAATTAAGTTTAGGTAAGAGCGTTATTCATGGCATTCCTTCAGAATCAGAGCTGCAACGAAAGCGGCGAGGTGTAGTTTAAGTGATGGAATCATTCAAAACTTGGAAGATGGGATTCTAACAGATTCTAATTATAGTTATACCTGAATACAGTATAATTCCTTCTCCAATAATGGAGGCAACAGAAACAGGTATTCCTGTATGTTATAAAAAGGACAACTCATAGGATAACACTGTTATAAAAGAAGGTTAAATTTAAAACTCTGTATGGTCCAACTCACATTTTTCTGAGCCTGTTATATCGAAACTGGCTCAGTTAATATCACTTTAAATGCAATGTGCAGATCCAGGTGAGTTGGAGATGATCCCTCAGAAAAGAATTGTGGGAAAGGCAACACCAGATTAATATAAAATCACAATATTTATTACAAAAAATATAAAAAGCCTTACATTAAGGTTTCTGGAGTGCCATTCATTCAAAGAGTAAAAGCACAACGCGTTTCAACGCTTGGATTTGCGTCTTCCTCAGGTGCATAAACTTCTAGTGTACAATCCCTGTTTATAAATATCTTTTGGCGCCTAATTTCACACTATACAGACATCCCCCTGCTCTAATTAACCTATCAGAGTCATCCTGAACTTCAAGTGTGCTGGCAATCTGCATTCTGATGCTGTGTGACGTCACTTCCGGTTTCGCTATGTATGCGTTCCAGCGGTCATTTTCATGGGTTCCACCTTCGGTTTTGTGTTCCAGCAGCCATTTCTATGCATTCCACTGACACCAATGCTCATATTACATATTAAAATCATCTCAACATTGCATATACTGGGTTTTGAAGTGTCAAAGTGTTACATATTATTACACAAGCTTAGTTACAGGATGGGAATTATTAATAAAAGACTTTCTTAATAACAGAGGTTAACAGAGGTTTTCTCATTAAAAATACATGAAACAGAACAGATGAAAAGAGAGAGAGGGAGAGAAAAAAGAGAATACAAATTAACCATTTGTGCACATATTGCACTGTATTCACCTTGCACATATACATATATCTGTATACACATTGCAGATATATCTAAAAAAACAAACAAACAAAAAAACATGATGAAGGAATCCCTTAGGTGTATGTGGTAACTGGTTCAACAAAGTATGGTGCTTCATAAAATATTATACCTGTAAAGATACACCGAGATTTCTCTCTTTTTGAAGTATGTCCTGGGCATATATTGATATCTCTCTTTCTGTTAGGTAATAAGAAGCTGGCGGTTGCCTGGGTCATTGGTCACTCGTTGGTAGTTTGGGCCCCGAAGAGCGCACGTGAGCGTATGAGGCATTGGGATGTGTCACCCACCTGGGCATCACAGGAGGGTGGATTTGGTTTGTTTGGTAGGAAAAAGACTTATTTATGGCTCCTGGCTTTAAGGGGCGGAGTCTAAAATGGTTAATGGTTATTTGGTTTTAAAGTTATGGTTATTATGATTATGGCTATTTAAATCAGAATTTTGAAATCCGTAATAAGTCACAGCCATTCGCCAAATGTTTTCAATTTTTAAGAAAAATAAACAGTTTAAAGGAAGTTTTGTTTTTAATTTATACTATGTATCATTAAGAATGCAACATTCAAACCCCATGGCAAAACCAGGAAATTTGAAATGGCTTTTAACCAGCAGGCAATGGGTCCGCAGCCCCGTCCATCACGACGCTACAATGCGCTAGTGCTCAGGTAATACACCCAAGTTCTCCATATCTCCTCATGTCTCCTCATGTCTCTTCATGAGGAGCATACAGAACTTAGCAGAGGTGAGTATTATATATATTAGTCTTGTATGCTGATAGCCGAACCAAGATCCCTTAATTGATTCTTCAACGTTCTAGCTGTTCTGGTTTTGCTCTCTGGCTCCCAAATTGCTTTCGTTCCAGATGCACTTTAGATTCAAAGTCCCTAATGTCCCGGCACAGCTTCTTGGAAGAAATGGTTCTCCTACTCCTAGACATTTTTTCATAACCAAATTGCCATTGTTTTATTCCTGTGATGCTTTAGAAATCCAATTTAATGGCTACCTGTAATGGACTGCCCCGCACCCTGACCGGGTACCTCCATCAATCGCTGCTTCCTAGTTCTTGCGAGCACCATAAGCACTGGAACACCAGACCAACGTAAAACCCACAAACTGCCGAAGCTTGGTTGGGGTCTCGCTGTCCTCCAACCACCCTGGACCCAAGACCAGGATCCAGCTTCCAGTGGGTAGATCTCTCCTAGTCCAGAGGGCGAAGCAGGCTGCTCTTACAAGAGCAATTGTTGTGACCCAAGGGAGTATAGTGATTATAGCAATCACCAGAGTAAATATAGCTCTTATAGCAAGCCCCCAAACATGAGCCTAGATTTCATAAAGGGTAAAACGAATTTGTTTAATGGTAGTCACAACTGGTCTTTTATGATAGTCCACGTGCAAGGGGCACTCCCCCCTGGACCTGAGAGTAAAACCACAGTAGAAACAAATACACAATCAGATTGGTTCTCAGGTCCAGGACACTACCATACAAAATAGGTCAATCTCTCTCCTATGACTGGGAGATAATTGAGTCACGCACTATACTAAACTTAATTATCTCCAAACACAAAAAACACACATTTTTACAAAACCCCCAAAATAACTTAAAACACACAAAACCCCCACAAATGTTACATCCTCTGGTAGCCATGATCTGGGTGACCAACATATCCCAATATCACCCAGATCGGTTCAAGGGCTCAGGAGTTTCCTGGAATCTCATTTTTGACCAACCGCACGCATAGTCCCATGCCCAAAACAGTTGCAGAGAATCAGGGCTTGCGGTCGGTCTAGTTCTGCAGTTTGGAAAACCAACAAACTACCGAACGTAGTCAATGTTCTTACCCTGGAGCTTGTTCCCCTCATCCATACGAACAATTTCACCGAACAGTGCCCTTCTAAATTGTATAGAACTGAACGCAGGCGATGATGGAAGTCCAGCGGTGTTTGGGAGTTTCTGTGTCCGATTTTAGTTCCATGAGATTCATGCCCAAACACCGCTGCCTGCTTTCATGTGAACAAGATGGCCGCCACCTCGTGGTTGTCCATAGGAATTGCTGCCACCCAGACGAACAATTAGAACACTGCGGTGAGAATCGTTCCAAGGTGTTAATAGGTGTTAACAAGCTCCCGGGTGGTCCCGTGTTCGTGCGGTTGTTCGGTAGTCGAACAGGGCAATGTTAGAATAGGTGGGGAATGCAATCTACCGAACAGAATAGCAAAAAGGCATGAACAGGGTCTTTTATGAGCCTTTTTGCATGGCCCATAGTCCTGAGGCAGGAAGCTGGCAAACAGGCCCCTCCAAGATCATGTGACGAGGCTCAGTTCGTCACATCTCCCATTTAAGCCTTATATTAATATGTTGCTCTCTGTCTTCTTCTCGGTTTGAGATTGCTGCTGCAGCTCTAGAGTTCTATATTCAGTTTTTTAGTTCTCATTAGTTGAGTCTATTTATTGTGCACCTACTCATTAACTCGAATGATTTCCTCTTTCGTATCTACCTTTTACCACCTAGTGGTGTCCCTCTGTCTTTTACAAAGGGTTCTGACTATTAATTAGTCATCCATTTACCAACACAGCAGTCCTTGAATATATTTATTGAACCAGAACTCTCTGTCTTTAATTAGGTCTAGCACTAATTAGGTCTATGTATACATTCATGTTTGCCTGGTTACCAATGGTTTCCTCCAATTCAATGAAAACAGCCAAGCTGCCAATCTTGGTAATTGTGCCTGGACAATGAATTGATCTGCTAATGTTTGTATGTTTAATGCATACCATTTAGTATGTTATCCTCCCTAGATTTCCTGAACTTAAAATCTACTCATATATATATATAAACAGCTGCCCATTTATATATCCATATTGCTACACGTTTATATATTTATATTGCTCATTGAGCAGGGCCCTCCCCATCTCTGTTCCTGTAGTCCAGTTATCTGGTTACAATTGCATGTCTGTTAGTCCACCCATTGTACAGCGCTATGGAATCTGATGGCGCTATATAAATAATAAAATAATAAAAATTATAAAAATAATTGCTGTCCATATATATGTTTATATTGCTGCGTCTTTATATATATATATATATGCCTATTTATATTGGTACACATTTATATTTTCATATTGTTGCTTGATATTTGCCTCTAGAGCAGCAATTATTTTTAATTGGTTTATAGAACAGCAATTAAATAGCTGAGTGATTGGTTTTCTGCTTCCCACTCGATGGGCAATGCCTCTCTTCCCCTGCTATGTGTGCTGGCATCAGGCACCCATTAATCACAGAATTGACATTACGCAACCGGGAATTTGAATTCAGAGCTCGCTTATGACACCGCCATCATGCTGCCAGAGCTGGAGCTACAGAGGGGTTAATCTTGTATATGCAGTGGTTTATAGAGCAACACTGCACATACAGACTCCAGGTACCATGACCACTTCAATGAGTTGGTGACGGTATCTGGAGCTATCCTTTAAATATGGTCTTCATGTTCTGTAAAAAAACTATTTGCTATTTTTCCAGTGCACTGTATTGTTCTTTCTAAAAAATAGAAATTAAATGAATTTTCTATTGCTAGCAGTTTAAAGGAGATATCACAGGGGTGCATTTGGATTTGTTATTCGAAAATGTTTCCAGTCTAAAACAACTGCTATCCATCTCTACCAAAAACATCCTAGTATAGTCAGGAAACCAACATAACAATAAACCCAGCACTGTGTAATATTATAGCACTTTCTAAAAAACTACAATAACTACTTTACATAAACACAAAAACACAAAATGGTTTCATTATTAGGACAGATTTAATTTAAAGATATATTAAACATATATTTTTTTAATCAGTAGACATTGATTGGATTTGAGATTGTATATAGGAGATGTTGACTCGTCAAGAGAATTTCCAGGTTTGGCACTTTACTTCTTACATCCTCCTCCACTACCACCCTGGTAGCCTCCTTGGCCTCCATAACCATAACCTTGTCCTTGTCCTTGTCCTTGTCCTTGTTGCTGGCAGGGATCAGGTGGGCATGGATCTGATAAAAACATGGAGCAAAGTTGTCATCACCTTAGCTTTTAATGTGCCATTAAAGGAGGGCACACACTTTTTAGGAAACACCTCTCTCTGGTATGATCTATGTGTACTAATGGGTCGCTTCTTTGGAACATAAAACAATTGAAGTGTGAGTGAACAAAGAACATTAAATGAATGTATTCAAGATTATTATCAACAAGCCTGCATCCAGCTCCAGTGGTATAATCTTTATATTAGAAGTCGAATATCATTTCTAAAATTCTTTGTACTCCTTTAATTGCTTTGTAGTTGGAACTTAGATTAGTGTATGTTAAATAAACCTGCTTTAATATCATACAATTTAATGAAAATCATATTATGTGATTTTGTGACCAGTTTTGTTCATAGCGGGCACATACCTTTGCATTGAGGTGGGCATGGATCTTTGCATGGGTCTGGACATGGCACAACTGGTGAGCAAGCTGAAAAGAGAAAGCTTGGGTTACAACACTTTATATGTTTATTCCACGTAATTGCCTACACATTAATGTGAATAGAGAAAGGAGAGTAAGAAAGGGGGACTCTGTCAAACTTAAGTAAAGTTCAAAAACCAGAACTTACCATCTGATGATTCCAGGTGGTCCAGAATATGTGTAAACCCATAAACATGTCTCAGTAGATTCTAACGTTAAAATGGGCATGTAATATCCCAATGATCTATCTATTACAAATATATATTATTCTGAGATTTTACCTGTCTCATTCAAAGACAGAGAAAGAGGGAGAGCTTTAAGGATTAACCTGAGTGGTGTTACTCTCTTCCTATGTAATTGCTCTGTCTGCTTTTATCTTGGGTCTGTGATTTCATATTTTCTTATGTTATGGCTCAGATTTTCATTTGAGATGTATGTACCCTATCTGGGGCTCTCAAATGCCAATAATGAACTTCTGTGCATGTTTTAGCTAAGAATGTAATGGTGTCGGATTGAAAATACTTTAAAAAAATTAGATTTCCTTGGATGGAAATCCACTAACGGTATTTGGTTACAAATAGCTTGAGAAAGAGAACCTTTAAGCCACTTTAGCACGAGTTCTAAAATCGATCAGGAACAAGTAAAACAGATATATTGTTCTCGCATTACACAAAATGTAAAACAAACAAAAGCATCGAAGAGATAACTTCTGTAAAACCTCGCAAGTTAAATTTCAGTAGTTGTTTTATCAATATTCTTTATAATTATTCTGTAGAATGAAATACATTTTAGCTGAATAGTTAACAGAATGTACTTACGATTTGGGCATTGGCCGGGCTTCTGTCCTCCACCACCACCTTTTGATGACATAGTGGATCTAGATGACGTCTGTGAGTGCGAATGAGATGATAGATGCTCTGACTGTGCCAGCTGTATTTGGACGTTGTTCTTTATATACAAAATGCGATGCCATTCATCAAAAATTATGCAATACCAATTATCTATACATCAGCCAATGGAATGCCTGATGTTATTATTTTAATTGAATTCTCTATAGGACAAGGTGTGGTTTTACAAAGTATGCAAATGTTTCTGTATTCCTATAAACAATGTAAATATTTTTTTGTCATGGATATTATCAAGATTAGTAGGTCATCATTACAATATGCAGTACTCGACTAATGAGTTTTAGTATTTTTCTTTCTTGCATTTTCAAATACTTTATTTTCAAGACACGATAAAAGCCTTTGACTGTTAGTGGAACAATATGTGGGATTTCAGTCTCTGAATAAATAATTTAAACATGTATTGAGCTATTCTGCATATTCTGAATGCAGCTACAACACATTTCAATGTGTAGAATGGATATTCCTGTGGGTGTCTTTAGTGTGGTGCATGATGGGTTAATTTATCAAAATGTTCTATTCTGACAAATGCTGCAAAAAATGTAAAGCTGGAGGAGTCACTATTGAATGAACCTGCTGGTTCCACCGGTTCCCATGGCGACTGCCCCACTTTTAATACTTTAGATCAGATTTTAGAACAGAAGACTATAATAAATCTCCCTTATTTCATTCTAAATAGATAGTTCAGACACAATAATACAATCTATTCTAGTACAATAGGACATAATCTATTAGATGAAAACAGAGTTAAAGCTGATGTCACCATTAATAAACAGAAATGAATAGACAACAAATATGGATAACAATTCTTTACAATCCAGCATCTCAAAGCTTGTTTACCATAAAGAAAAAAAATCACAGGCAGACAAGAAACACATAAGTGTTTAAGTCATATTTCAAAAAAATGCTGAACTTCGTGATTTATCAAAGATGGACCAATGGGTCATATAATTCCTTTAGAGAATATATAATTCCTTAAGAGAAAATGTTTGAATAATCTAATCTGTCAAATGAAAATGTCTCTCTTGCTGCTATAATGTTATGGATGGAACACAGGACAATAGCGATCAATATTTAGAATCTTTATGGTCTGTTTACCAAGACCTTTCAAACCCACTGATATTCCATATATATTTTTTTAATTATTACTATTGCGATGTTTGATTTAAACAATCACAGGATGCAGATTTTATCCTAAATGGTCACACTTCCAGTCTCCACACGCTATTAAAAATTCTCTAACCAAAAATTTGATTCTCACTAAATCAAACGGACACTACTACCGGTGTTTTTGATTTTTGTTCTACCTTCAACACTTTAGACCTATAGCTTTTTTGACTTCTCCTCCACGTGACTCTCTTCTTTCACAGTTATTATCTTCGCTCTCTCAGTGCTCATTCAGTGTCTACGTTTCTGGAACATAATTTTGCTTGCTGCCTCTTTCCATTTGCCAAGGATCTGTTTTGGGACACATTTTGTTCTTACTATTAATATGTTGTGTAACCATTTCTAAATGACCTGATCATTGTTTTAATACAAAGATTTTGTTCACACTTAGATTTTTCCCCTAACATCTCTCCTTTCTGACTTGAGCATGCTAGCAGGTCCCTCTCCTCTGTTTTGGACTAGGTGATTGCCCATTTCGTGCAACATTACCTAACACAAATTTACCTATTTATTCATCCTCTTGCAAATTCTCATCTCCTTTGTCATGTCAGCATCACTTTAGGTCATGGGTCCTCAAACTCCAGCCCCGCAGATGTTGCTGAACTACAATTGAATTACACAGATATCCAGAGAATCATGGGAGTTGTAGTTCAGCAACATCTGGGAGTTTGAGGACCCATGCTTTAGGTCAATAGTGATACAATCAAGGCTTGAGCTGGTTTCCACCAATTTATAGTAACCAACGTTGACAACTAACTTCAACAGCCACTGAAATCCAATGGAATATGACTAAACGCTGGTGGAGTGACTAGTAATATGGAGCCGGTTCCATGCACAGAAACTCCAGTACCTATCAGGATTGAAGTTACAATCTTGCTATATTATTATTCCTTTAATTCTCACATTGTAATTTCTGTCCTAGTTCTAGAATATTTCTACTTTCAGTATTTTTAGGTTGCTTCTTTTATTCTACAGCTAATTAATACCTGATTAATTCCTATACTTAATAACCACTTCTGATATCCCTTTTTTTTTTTTTTTATAAAGAGCTCCTACTAATCTATGGTGGGGTACTTCCATCAATTATACAACATTCCATCCATCCTTGAAGGTATTTTTTGAAGTGGATGTTTCTAACGGCAAACAGACTACTGAATAGGTCATGTAAGGTCTTTACATATGCATGTCCACCTCTAGTTTCTTAACTCTCAAGTTGAGAAGCAATTCAAATGTTTCAGATTTCTTTGGTACATAAGGTATGTATTATAAGGTCTTGGTGGGTGGACCCGAATACCACGCTATCGCATGTATTTTCTCCTTGCCAAATCCAGCTTTGCTTTTTTACATTTTTTTAAATTTTCTTTAGTTATACCATGACACGTAATACCTACCCAAATATATATTCATATCACTAAGGAAATATATATTTATATGGCTACCCAATTATATGTTTATGTTGCTGCTCCCGGCAAATGGTATGTCTGATATCACAATTTGCACCGAGGAAAGCATTAACAGAGCTGTGTTGTGATTGGTTGCATGTTCTTCATGTGACGGGTTGTTGCTATGATGTAGCGATGGTCACTGTCTCTCTTGTTGATAATAGTTTGATTGGGTGAATTAACACTTAACTTCCCAATCCAGAATGTGTCATTATACCAAATACAGAACGTGAAATAAAAACTAGTGTAAATAGTATTTGAGGTAAGTACAGGAAATGTACCCTGTTTCTCTGATTGGACTTTATATTGCTGCCTCATAAGCAAAACTACACCCTCTGTCCTAAACTCACACATTGATTGAGGAAAGTCCTATATTCTATTCCATTTAATGCATTGAAAATGGTTTATGTGTCCTGTTTTCAGGTTAATTATCTAAAAATATAAGTTGCACAGCTTTTATATTGCTGGCATTTCAAACTTTTAGATCTCCGTCTGTGCACTGAACAACATACTCAATGTAGTAGATTTTTAAAATGAAATTTTGCAATGTTTACATTCCATCATGTTTAAGACATTTACAGGTGAGTTTTTTTTTATATTTTATGTAACAGTTGACTTGGGACTTGATACTGTTGATTCATAACTGCAGTAACTTTCACTGTCCCACATTCACTACAATGGCAAACCTCTGTTGGATTGTTGGATTCAATTTGACTACATATTCTGTAATAGCTATATAATAATTTTAATTGAACTGCCTTGTTTTTAACAAAGATAAACTGTAAATCATTTTTTACTGATCGTAGTTTATTGGTGAATTTAATTTCTGGTGCAATTTGCACTACGCATTATATATTGCTTCCAATCTGCTACCAATCTCTCCCCCAAATTCTTAATATAATGAAAGAACAGAAAAAGAATTAAGTATAAATAAACACGAATAGACAAATTTATTTCATTACGAGGACAGATTTAATTTAAAGATATATTAAACATATTTTTTTAATCAGTGGACATTGATTGGATTTCAGATTGTAGATAGGGGATGTTGACTTGTCAAGAGAATTTCCAGGTTTGGCACCTTACTTCTTACATCCTTCTCCACTACCACCCTGGTAGCCCCCTTGGCCTCCATAACCATAACCTTGTCCTTGTCCTTGTCGCTGGCAGGGATGAGGTGGGCATGGATCTGATAAAAACATGGAGCAAAGTTGTCATCACCGTAGCTTTTAATGTGCCATTAAAGGAGGACACACACTATTTTTGTAACATCTCTCTCTATCTGAATATGATCTATGTGTACTAATGAGTTGCTTGTTTGGAGATAAAATATTTAAGTGTGAGTGAAGAAAGCACATTAAATGAATGTATTCAAGATTACTATCGACGAGTTTGCATCCTGGTCAAATGGTATAATCTTTATATTATACTTTGAATAGTATTCCTAGATTGCTTTCTATTCCTGTAATTGTTTTGTAGTTGGAACTTAGATTTGTGTATGTTAAATAGATCCGTTTAAATATCTTGCAATTTAATGAAAATCATTTGACCAGTTTTGTTCATTGGAGGCACTCATTTGTACCCCTTCTCCAAGGACCATATATTTTCTTTGTGCCTCATAGTTGGAATTCTAAGCTTTTCAACTGTTGAAGCCTATAGTCTCATACCTTTGCATTGTTGAGGTGGGCATGGATTTTGGCATGGGTCTTGGCACTGCACAACTGGAGAACAAGCTGAAAAGAGAAAGCTTGGGTTACAACAATTGGTATGTTTATTCCACATATTTACCTACATATTAATGTGAATAGAAAAAGGAATAGAAAGGAAGGGGGGCTCATTCAGACTTTAAGTTCAAAACCAGAACTCACCATCTGATGATTCCAGGTGGACCACAATATGTACAAACCCGTAAACATGTCTCAGCAGATTCTAACTTTCCAATGGACAGGTAATATCCCAATGAATGATATTTATATATCACAAATATATATTATTCTGAGACTTTATCTGTTTCATTAAAACACTGAGTGAGCAAGAGAGAGAGAGCTTTGTGGATGAACCTGAGGAGTTGTGTTACTCTCTTCCTGAGCAATTGCTCAGTTTGCTTTGATCTTGAGTCTGTGATTTCACATTCTCTTATGTTATGCTCAGTTTTCCGTTTGAGATGTATGTACTCTATCTAGTACTCCAATGCCTCTAATGAGTTTCTGTGCATGTTTAACCTTGGAACTTTATGGTATCGAACTGACAATACATGGAAATAAAGTTTCTGTGGATGGAAATCCACTAACGTTATTTGGTTAGAAAAATGTTTAGAAATAGAGCCCTTAAGTCATTTTAGTACACATTCTATCTAAAATAAATCAGGAACTACTAACACAGATATATTGTTCTCGTATAACACAAGATGCAAAACAAACAAAAGCA